TTTCATTAGTGTAAAATATTTATGTTTCCCAATGAGTGGGAAACAAAAAGTTGTTTCCAGTAGAGTTTCGCAATATAATGCTAGTAGTTTTTTCATACAACCGACTACTTTGCTGTAACAACATCTTTCTCTTTTTTCACCCATTTGCTAATAAAAAGATATTACCATAGAGGCACGTTTGTATTTTTTTCATTCACATACTGTAGCATTTTGTTTGAATCTTGTCTGCTTATGTGTTTGCACTGCTAAATTCGGTTGTATTCACTATACCACATCAGAAAAATCTTTGAAGAGAAACCAAAAACAGTTGGACACGTGACTGACTTACTAATCACGCAACATATCTTTGATAACTCGTATCCATCTTAAATACCTACTACCAAACCAGCAGATATCTTTAGGCATTATTTATTTTCGCCACAGTAGTTTAGGTTGTTTGAGAAGTGCTTGACCGCCACTTGTATTTAATATTCATTGTACAAATGAAATCGGACTTGTGTATTAAGCAAAAACTGTTGTTACTGTAACTTTGCCATGGCGATAAACTACTTTATGTTATATTGTGACATGTGCTACTGATAAAATTTATCAGTAGTATATATATATAAAGAGATGTTCATCGGCATAAAAACATAAAATAGTAGGGAGATAGGTTTGATGTCAGAGAAAGCATATTATACATCGTTGTGGGGATACGTGGGAGAAGTGAAGACGAACACAATGAAACACAATATGAAGGAAGGCGAGAAGCAGCACAGCACGGAAGATCTGTAAAAATGACGGCTTTCAGATAAGGTGTAGGTAATTTCGGTATACAGCGATACCAAATTCCAAGTCTCCTGTGGTTACGACATCCCTTTCCATTATATTAAGTTTTGACAAAGTAACTTCATAACCTTTATTTTCGTCATTACCCACAATATTAGCCTTATTATTTTTTACTTCTACCCAACTAAATTACTGACTTTTATGTAACATGTGTTGCCAAATTTATATCTCCAACTAATTTCCAACTTCTTTTCTTAACTCTATAAATGCTCAAAAAACTAAATATTAACTTTGATGTTTTACATTCTACTGTCCGCCTATGAAATTAAAGTGTGTGAATACGTTTTAACTGGATGTCAAATTCGTTTCGTATAATATGCAGCTAACGAAACAAAATGATATAGTATCATGTGGCTCAGTCTGGTATTTTTGCTTTATTCCGATTTATCAAGGGAAAAAATTGTAAGAAACAATAGCTGAAGACTGTTGGCAACATGCCTCAAAATCTTCCACCATAGAGCTGGAGTATTTTCCTCTTAGATTCTGAAACTGCGTATTATTATCCACCGAATAATTCTTTCTCCTGTACGTCTTTGTCCATTCCAGTTTCCTCACATTCCTTCTCTTCAATTTTTCTGTGAGCTTCTCTGGAATGTGGCAACTTGAAATGATGCACTTTATACAATGCTATAATTTGTTAAGTCAGCCTTGATATGGCTTCCTTGTCTTTTTTGACAAAATAATCTTGCTTCAACTAATGTTGGAAATATTTTCAAAGTAAATTAGTCTGAATACAAGCTTCCATATTTATACGTCTATTCAAACCGTTGAATTATTTATTTCATATTGTTCTATGTTTCTGGCAATAGATTTGTGATTAAAATAACTCAACATGACTTATCAAAGCTGTAACACAAATTCCCGAATTCACTGAGTAGTGGCATCTTCAAGACTATTGGTATCGATTTCGGAAATATAATGTGACCGAACTTGGGATTAAGGAGAGTGGACAAAAATGTACTCGGTCATCATCTTTTTGTGAAACATTGACATTATAATGCATATTATTTGTTCGTTTGCTTTCCGTTCATTCATGTTTTCGTGTATATTCTAGTAGCCATCTCTTCATAAATGTTAGAACAAGACATATAAGCGAACAATATTGTCTTCAATTAAATTCTCTTCAGGCTTTACTCTAATTTACATAGATTTATATATAAAATTTTAACCAATGACGGTGATTTTGGGAATCAAATAATAATCTTAATAATAATAATAATAATAATAATGTGGTAAGTGTTTTGAACGTAGTTAATAACGGGGATTATAATGATAACAAAATATTGATAATAAGGTTTATGCAGGTGATAAGAATAACAAAGATAGTATATGTATATAAGTGTATTAATAAATTGGGTCAAATCTTAAAAAGTGAGGTGGAACGATAATCAGAGTTTAAATAAATATTAGGAAAGTATGAAGGAGGTGGAAAATAAGAAAGGGTGGGAGGGTTTTGAATACAATTCACCTAGGCCAAGGGAGAGACAAAGGTAGAACAAACTTCCTTTGTATGCAAAGAATATGATTGTTCTCTCGAATTCCCATAGCTTCGGCTAGGTGTAAAAGACGGGTTCTGATTCCATTCGAAAGACTCGATGGAATACGATAGATAACTTTGAAAGCACTATTTTTGTCCACTTGGTGACCGCTATCAATCAAATGAGCCAAAATAGAAGTTCGTATGGATTTTATTTGACCTTTTCCGAACCATGAAGGAAGATGCTCATTAATGCGTTTGTTAAGTTGTCTAGTTGTTCGCCCTATATAGCTTTCTCCACAGGAGCAACTAAATTTGTAGATACACATCGAAGTGGCACAACTAGGTAGCTTATCTTTCACTTGAGCAATCAAAATTGGTCGGCTGGAAAATGACAAACAAAGGGTGGCGGTAGTATAAGTCCGTTTTATCGCTCTCGATAATCTCAGATATAAAACTTCACTAGCCACATCCCCATTAAATTGAAGTTTCATGAACAGTTCTTTCTTTTTAACTGTTGTCAGTTTTTCTTTGTTGTACGTGGTATTCATGTGTCTCCTAACAAATCTATTAGGATAACCCATTTGGACCAGCGTATTTTGGATATATCCTAGCTCATTTTCTAGGGAGTCATCTGTACAAATACGTCTTGCTCTATTCGTAAGGCATCTGACCAAATTGATTTTATATCGGATTGGTACAAAACTGAGGAAATGTATATATATATATATATGTCTCATTTTGTAATATATTAGATTAACAGAATCTTAACCGGTAGATTTTGAGATTTTATGATGATTCATCCAGCAAAATATGATTTATTATTTAATTGAACGGTCAACCTACATAATTTACCATATTTTATTCCATTTTCCTTATAGCAAAACGCAGCAATTTTTTAACCTGAAACTGTCATCTATATTGGACTACTATTAGTTACTTTCCATTGTTTAATATGTAACAGATTACTCGAATATATATTCGACAGATCCCAAGGACTCAGGCAATAATCTAGAGTAAGATTAGTTCCAAGAAAGATAAATGATGGGTATATCAGACTATAAACAGAGAGATAAGTCAAAGTAAAGTTTTGTAGAGCATTAAGTCACTGCGTAGCCACAACGAAAGAGCATAAACCAAACAATGGAACTAAACTGCATGTGGTAAAATAATTTAAAGCAGATCAGGGGACTTGTTTAAAACTTCAAAGATGATGAAAAGCAAATATTTTTAGGCCATTGGACGTGACGTTAAGTGGTGTCAATAAGATTATCCAACACGAGGATTCAAGCCAGCTGCTTACACCACATTTTGTGACGCTATGGACTTCAATCATTAGTGACACAATGTGGTCTGTAACTTTTTCCTGACCAAATCCTATTTCAGTCACCATAGTTTTTAGGGGGAAGGATAGGTTTGCCATACGTGACATATGTCCTAGGGATCTCACTTAATGAAGGTTTATAACCACATCGATTGATTTACCTTCCTTACCTAATGATGGACATCAAATTTGAAAATTACTGTTTAAAGAAAGGTACCTATACTCAAAAACTTATAAGCTTTCATACAGGCCAACCTAAAGAATGGCGAGCACGGAGTGCGAACGCACCAATGACCTTCAACGCATACCTTTCTTTGGATTACAGAACCTACTTATTATTACAGAGCCAGAGTGAACGCCGTGCATGAATTGACGTGCAAATTTGATCCTGACCTCACTTTTTGGACAGTGAGTCAACAGCACGTTAGGGTGTCTAATTATTATCATTAGTATTTTTCCTACAGATAAATAAGAGGAAGGAGAGTGTGGCGTTGTTTATAAAGATGAAACTATTTTGATGGCTATGAAACTTGAAAACTGATGCCCATCATTGTAAGTGGGAAGCAGTTTTCAGTTACGTCAGGGCGAAATGTCACCTTTAATGTGTTTCATTATTATTATGTCAATTTCTATCGTAAAAACAGCATTCTGATGGGAGAATATACAGCAGACCCTGTACTCCAACGAATGGTATGAGTTCAATGTCATCGGTGAGTTCACACACCCTGGTCACTATTCTTTATACGCTCTACTTTCACAGCTGTGAATTAAAACAAAACTAGCAGATGCAGGAAAACGATGAGAGCTGACAAATTTCAGACAGCATACAGTGTAAAGATGTCTTTTCAATAAATCAACTTTCCAAAATTTCCTGTTAATAATATCCAGAATTCAAGATAGTTTCTGTATTTATCACAAATGATGACCACTTGAATAAGATAGAAATTTACAGTCAAAGTTATTATTATTATTATTATTAAAGCATCCCATAGATTATGCAGTAGAAGAAATCCCTTGGTCATTCTGTAACTCCTTGTCCATAATAAGTCTAAATGTATTTGAAAAATCCTCCCCTTTTCTCTCACTGTTCCCCTGTCGATTTGATTTAAACTTGCTAACTTATGTGTAAACACCGGAAAGTGGTGCATCACTCTAGTGCTTTAAGCGAATATTTCATTGTGATATTTTTAATCCTGTTTCAATAGTTAATATTAGCAATGGTAATAATAGGGATAACTCACATTTAATTACAAAATTTCATGCAGATATGCATAAAGTATATTAATTATTGATACTTTCCTTGTAGATATCATTACTTTTCTCCATTACATTTTATTGGTAATTTGTTTACAAATTAATTATTTAAAAGTATTAAGCACAAATTATACTATCACCAATCTCAGAAACTTCATTAGGTTTACGAACTCTGATATTTGGACCTAGCATATCATGAACCCATTCTTCCCATGGGACAATTATCTGTTTAGGTGGAACGAGTATACGTGCTGGTTTATGTGGATCTTTCGGATACCATATCAATGATTGTGCAGCATTACAATGTGGTGGGAATGTTGCAGCAATTGGCAATTTATATGATTTATCTGGATCCATCATAATAACTCCACTATCCTGTACATCATAAATTTTCCGTACTCGGCTACCTAATGGCATAAAAGGATCAACTTTCATGTGTAAATCATACTCCCACCGTATCTTTTTCAGTACAGTAATTTCATCTTTACATGAAAACTTTTTACCATATTTGATAGCTACTAACCAAATTAAAAATTTCTGTTGTCTATTAATTTCAGTTAGGCGTACACCACCGGAAAAAGGCAGTTCCCAGACGACAGATGGATGAAAATAATCCTTTACGTGTAAATTTAGTGTTAATTTTCTCACAGGACCTTTTTTAATATTATACAAACTTTGATTAACGCTGTAAAATGGATATTGTCGTCCATCACTGTCATTTATTAATCTTCTCAGACCACTTTTTAATGGATGAAATTCCCAAAGTGATTTGCCAACTCCATCATAATCATTAGCTAAATACATGTAGTCACATGCTTGAACAAGACCGATAGTCCAATCACGATCAGTTGTACATGTGGGTATTTCTATTTCAACCTTACAATAAAATGTTTGAGTTTTGTAGTAAAGCATAGACTCAGTCTCTTCGACTTCTGTGCCTGTTGTATCATCATAGTAAGCTCGAATCCCTTTGATGCGAAATTTGTCTATTGTCAATTTGTTCATCTAATGGTCTGAACATAGATTCAATCCTCTCCCTACGACTAGTTTGTAAAGAATAAAAGTTAGTTTTTAATAATTATATAGAATAATAAATTCCAGGTAGATTCCATATATTTGAAGATCAGTATGTTTGACTTCAAAATATACATCCAGTTAAGTGATTGGCACTTCAAGGAATCATCAACAGGCTCAAGTATACAGGCACTCTTATTTTACCATTGAGCATTAGCCTGATAATTTTAAATAATTGAATATCGATTTTTCTATGTGCATCAAGGCTCAGAAGAATAAAGTCATTATTGTAAAACAATAACTGTAAACTTACTTGTTGGAACAGCTTTACACAGAAATTTGTAAGTTACTGGAGATTTTATATTTAAAACAAGCAAGAACTGTGGAAAAAAGCAGAATTTATTCAATCCATAGATTTCAGTTGGACTTGTGAGCTGAATACTCTAGAAACATTGTTATCAATACAACTTTTCAAAAATGTTAAATACATATAAACATATGAACATTGTGACAACAGATATAAATTTCAATAAATATACGATCTATTAATCGTAAGTGATAATCTGTTAACGTCATTATTAAGTGAAAAATATTCATCATGGATAAGACTTTCATTTCTCTGGTTTTTCTAGCCAGGAAGTGGTAGAATTTATTGTAATCGTTTTACTTTCGAACACTGGTCCTGTGGATATAATCTTATTGACTCTTACTAACTATAACTAACTGTTTACCAATTTATGACTGTCAAGCACATCGAGTGGATATATCTGCTGCAGTTAATCATTACATTACACTCTCAACTCCGAACTGGTGAAATTTATCTTAACTAGTTTTGTTTTCGGAAACTAACTCTGTGGATATAAATTTCCAATTTGTGACTGTTAAACACGTTCAGCGGATACCTATGACTAACTATTATCTATAACTATATATATATATATATATATATATATATATATATATATATATATAGTTATAGATAATTGTATTTAGATGCCGAAGTCAGCAAGTCTCTGGTTTACGTGTTATTTTCGGTAATCGTATTTGACAGTGACATTTTTGCTACTGTTGTTGTCATCGTCTCTACCTTTCCTGTTGTGATTCTTTTTTGCAGTACTTCTTATTTTCCTGACTCTAAAGGGAGCAACCCGAAAATTCGCTCCTCTGTAACTTACATCCCTATGTCACAACTCCCTATCATGATGTCACCAATGGCAACGAAGGCCCTGATACAATGGGAAGCGATCTCGTTCAGGATAATTACCGCCAGATTCAACTCAAAAGGAAGGAAGAGAGCTCATTATGGGTAGAGAGGCACTTAGAGAGATGAGTGAAAATGGTGAACTCTTCGCCGACTTCTGTGCCTTCAATGAACTAGTGATTGGTGACAGGGTATACAAACACAAGGATATCCACAAGGCTACATGGGTATTACCAGACGGGCGAACCAAAACCCAAATTGACTTCATCTCAATATCAAGGAAGTGGAGACGCAGCTTACTGGACACAAAGTAAGAAGAGGAGCACACGTATGCTCAGACCGCAATCTCGTGCAAGAAACACTCCAAATCAAATTAAAGACTCTCAAGAAAACAGGAGCTACAGATAGACCACAAGCTAAATTCAATACTCAAAAAATGAAGGATCAGGCCACAAAGCACATCTTCACTGCAATCATAAGGAAAAAGGCGAAGACACAAATCAACACTAACGAAGAGACCAGCGTTGAAAATCACTGGGACAACCTGAAAGCGGTGTGGAGTCAAACCTGCATGGAAGTTCTAGGCAGAAAGATGAGACAGGACAAACAGTGGCTCACCACGGACACATGCAGACTAATAGAAGAGAGAAGTATGTTGAAACAAAAGATTATCCAGTGCATCGACGATCAACAAAAACAGGAGTTGAATGCAAGCTACAATACACTGAACAAAAGATTAAAGAAGAGTGCCACGGAAGACAAAAGAAAATATTACGAAGCTATGGCAAGTGAAGCAGAACAAGCTACAAGCAAAGGAGATCTCGCAACGCTCTACCAAACAACTAGGCTCCTATCGAGGAAGCAATCAACATAAATTAAGCCAGTGAAGAGTGACAATGTAAAGTCAATCACCAAAGAGATGGAGCAAAGGAAACACTGGGCTGAATACTTCAAAAGACTTCTTAGTCGACCGCCACCTACAACGCGACCAATAATACCAACAGCGGAAGCAGAACCACTAGTGGATACCAAACCTCCGAAGAAAGCAGAAATCCTGGAGGCAATCAAGATGCTAAAAACTGGAAAAGCAACAGGACCAACCGGAATCCCAACAGGGGCATTGAAAACGGGTCCCGAGATATCAGCGGACTTGATGACGCTACTACTGGAGAAGGTGTAGAAAGAGGGCAAGGTACCCGAGGATTGGAAGATAGGCTACTTATTCAAGCTGCCAAAGAAAGGGGACTTAAGTCAATACAAGAACTGGCGCGGCATTATGCTCATGTCTATCCCAAGCAAAATACTAAGCCGTATCATCCTAGTAGAATCAAATACGCCCTGGATGAAAAACTTCGACCGGAACAGGCTGCATTCAAGAGGAACAAGTCATGCATCGCCTAAATCACGACACTATGTGTCATCACTGAACAGAGCTTGTAATGGCAGTCAGCTGTCTACCTCAACTTCATCGATTTTGAAAAGGCCTTCGACAGTGTCGATCGAGAGGTGATTTGGAAAATACTTTGCTGCTACGAGGTGCCACCAACAATTATACACCTCATCCAACGGTTGTGTGATAATGCTGCATGCCAAGTAATCCACAACGGGAAACTCACGGAATCCTTTGAAGTGAAGACGGGAGTAGGAAAAGACTATCATCATGGATTGATATCAGGTTTCTTTATCTAACTACCCCTACAACTTTTCCGAACTAGTCATATTTCAGCTAACAATACTCCTTGAGGAAGGTAATGGCTTGGTATGCTAAATACGTTTATAAGCTTTCTGTTGGAGAAACAATTTCAAATCTTGGTGATTAATAAAAGGTAAACAGTTTTGAACTCAGAGACAAACAAATATTCTTGTTTCGTCATTCTTTCAGTTATAATAAGCATGAACTTAAACTTTTGTCTCCAATTACTGAATGTTACCAAGAATTTGCATAAAGATAAACAAACTTAATCATATTTTCTTAAAAGTGATTAGGTGGTAATTAGAAGTTATTCCTACTCTGTGTAATCCATAGTTTGCTCATTTTGAAGAAAATTCAGTTTTTGCTTCAAAACACTGATATGTATTTAGAATTCAACAGAATTATACCTTTCAACCCATAATTACTAAAGCATTTATGAGTTTCACAACCGAAAGGTATGAACGATCTACGAGTAAGTGTAGGGAATTCTAAATTGCTTCCAAATGCAAACAGTAAATTTCTCAAGAAACAAACTGTAATTCAGGTGAGATGAAGAACAGGACTATAGGAAATGAGGAGTGTATTCTACAATCCCTACTAAATTGTTTACGATCCATAATCTGGAATATTGTGTCGTTTCCAAAGCAGCTAGAATGTAGAGTACTTTTAACAAAGTGCACACATCTTCATAAAGGTTCGAGATGAAATTTCACCATAGTTCCCTATGGAAATGAAAATTATTCAGATCACAATATGTGATCTGCCTGATAACATAATGGTAGTCAAGGGAACAAGCGTAAATGCATGATGCTATATATACCATTAATTGACTGAGATAAGCAGTTGAATATCACTCACATCAACCAATAGTGCTTGATAGCCATATCGAAGTGATCTAACCAAAGGATGGCTATTTCTCTCGTTTGAAACCGAGCACATCATCGGTGTAGCTGGTATAACTTAACTCAGAAAGTTAATTCAACCCAAAAGATGATATACTAACAGTGTATTAATGAACGAGAACAATATGAAGATTAGGTCTGTTCCATTCATGTGTTTTCCTAATCATCAAGTATTGGTTTTGTAGGAATTTTGTTTGATTGCATGGAGGATTTCATCATGAGCTGACATCAATTAGAGAACCATTGGAAAACCTGGGAGTACTGAACAGCTGTCTCCTCCGTCCCTGTTTGGGACTCCTCATCAGTACGCACCGACCGCCACGGTTCGAACCCAGGACCTTCTGGTTACAAGGCTAGCGAGCTCGTAGACCATTAAGCCACTGGGTCTCGATCCAATGGCCAGCCCATGAATTCTAACTTCTGCCAATTCGTGACATGGCGTGACCACGTCGCAACGTTTTCTTCGATGAGTTACTGCCTCACCTTCAGCCTGCTATACCCTACTGGTCACAGCTTCCCACTAGGACCTCAGGTAACAGCCTGAATAGGGCCAGTAGCTAGTGAGCATTATATCAGTTTTAAAGTATTGGTTTTGTAGGGATTTTGTTTGATTGCATCATGAGCTGACATCAGTTAGAGGCCCACTGGAAAACCTGGGAGTAATTCTTAATTAAACCTATATTCTTAAAGCTTGCATTTTAATGCTTTTAGTGAACTCATTCAGGAAGCCTACGCTTCACCTGAGAATTTAAAGCAGTCACTGACTTTGCCGATATTTTTTTAATGCAGTCACGTTGAAAACTTGATTATACATGGAGAATTATTGTCACAAGTCTAGATGGAAGATAGGTGATCATTCTAAGAACTACCTCATATAATTTGAATTATGAGAGCTTATTAGTTGGGTGCCTTCTCTAGTAAGAACTGTATGATTGATATTGTTTAAATTAAGACTGTATAGGAAACAGGAATAAGCTAAATACATTAAATCATTGAGATATGTATACTGAGTTGATATTCGACGATTTATAACTAAGTTGAGAGCAAAGTTATCCTTTATTAAGCTAACGCTCACCCAAATATCAAATACCTACATCTTGTATTCCAACAAATGTATTTGATGTAGATCAAGCAGACAAATAACGATTTTATTGAGATCAGAAATGACTTTTAAAACTGACAGAATTGATATAAACATTTCACATAAGCATTAATTATGTGTTGCATACATTAATCAAATTAATGATAGAAGCATTGAGATCAAATAGTGGAAGAGAAGAGAAAAAAACACCAATAAGAAAGAACTCTTGTGCGTTTTCCTACAGAAGGTAGAAAGATGCATTCACATATTTTTAAACTATTAAATAATATCTACATATAACACAAAAAATAATGTGTGTAGACATAAGCATTAACATTGAGATGTCATTAACATTATGGACATCTTTTTCACAGTATTTCCATTTCATATTGAAAATAAGCACATTCTACATTGAAATCATGAACACAGATAATAAATTGTTTAAATGAAAGTCCATTGAACATTGAACAAGCAAAAACAAAAAACAAAACAAAAAAACTACTGAAAAGTATTCTGGATATATTGCATACATATTTCAAAGAATAATAAAGAATGCAAAAGAAGACATAAATGACATAACTAAAAGTGTACAATGAAAACCTAAATCACTAAGAAGAAAAAATCAACATCACAGTTATTCCCCAGCCTTTAAAGCCGCGATAAATTCTTCTAGTTTCTCCTGTATGTGTCTTGTTCGATCTGTCATTAAAATAATAATAATGATAATGACAGGATTAGTGGGCACAGTATAAAATAGAGAAAATGAATATACAGAATAATTAGTTTCACGTGAAAAAATGCAAAAAGAGTGTTACTGAAAAAGTTCACACGAATCAGTAAAAACGTATTTCTATGTTATTTGACAGATGATAACAAAGAATCCAGTAACCATGTTTAGTTCTGCTTCGAACTCATCAACTAGGCATACCTACAAAGACAGCGAGTGATGGCGTTTCAACTGAGACTCATGATTCGGTAGCCTAGGCTGACGAAATCTCATTACGGATACAAAAAGCTCGTCTCTCATTTCCCAGCTTACGCCATCTCTGACGTAGACGTGATATCAGGTTGTAGACCAGACGGCGTGTGCACTGCTCAGCAGTTCTCTCCGTCCACTTTTATGTCTGTGAGACATGGCCAATGAAAGTGGAAGATTCGAAAAGGCCAGCTGTCTTTGATCATAGATGTCTGCGTTCTATCTCCCGTGTTAATTGATATAATAAGAGGTGAGTAATATTGAGATTAGGCGCCGAGTGCTAGGTAAGGAGAAATCAATGGACGAGGTTTTGAAGTTACAATGATTGAGATGGTTAGGACATGTGTTACAAATGCCTAGCCTAGCCATCGCTTCCCTCGACGGGCAATGTTAGGTGACATAGGATCACGTTGGAAAAGAGTCAGTGGTGGTCAAAACAAAACATGGCTTCATCAGTCGATGAAGTCCGTAGCAGTTAGTTTAGGCCAGCCACGTAGGGAGGTGTAGACTTCCTGGTTGTGGTCCTCAGGATGCTAAAAAACCAACGACTGGAGACTATTGGTGATATGGCTCAAAGTCATTCTCAGTGGCGCAGATCCGCTCTCTCTGATTAGTCATACCCAATAAAACTACATTGTCCTTCAATGTTACTATTCCTTTTCCCTCACACTTCTGTTTATTATGTCCCTTTTGAATCTCTCTTTACTTTCTTCTCTTGCTTTGTATGCTGCATGGAAAGTGACAACTCGAACAGCTGCCCATCTGTGCAAAGTTGTTCTGTGTTGAAATCAGTCAGCTAGTCGTCGGTCTAGGGCATAAAACATCGACGTTTATAACAATGGGCTCTAGGCTGGAGTCTTGGCGGGAACACATCCTAAGAATCTGTATGCTACCAAAGTCCAACAGTTTCGACCTCAATTGGTTGATAATCACTGAAAATAACTAAATTGTCCCCATTACGTAATATCGATTAAAATGTTAATTTCACAAAAAAGAATATTACTTTAGTAGATGCATATATCGAGACATCAGGAAGTGTGATTAGTATATCTTGGTCCTTAAAGAAGCATATCTTCCAATTTTTACTAGTAAAAACAATTTTCAGAATATTTGTTAGCCGCTATATTTAATACATAAGAGGTAACAGTTTCCATGCCTTTAAAGATAAAAAGTAGTAACTTTCAGGTAATACATATCCAGGGGAATATATATTCTGTTATACTTAACGAATTAACTCCATAATGGATAAGATTTTATTTTGATAAATCAGACAGTGTTGTTCAGTTATATTAACTACATAGGTCAAACTAGTAGGTCAGGGATAGTCAAATTATCAGAACATAAGAATTTAGCTAGGGGAATAATGGTTGACCCCGAGAAGATAAGTAATTTAGAAAAAAGCTCAGCTATTGCACTTCACGCATTAACAAACAACCACACAATAGGGTGGGAGACGGTTAAAATTCTAAAAAGTAATATAGGTAGGTGGAGAGAGAGGTTGATTACGGAATCCTTATTCATCGAGTCTACACCCAACACATGCAACAGAAATGACTCAATGTAAATACCAGAATTATGGAAGATATTATTACTGCCGGTCAAGTCAGAAGAGGATAATAAATATTCTTAAAATTCTATTTCCATTCAAACACATCAAAACATTCTAACAATTAACTTATTATGACTTTAGAAACACTCGTCGTATTTCCCATCTAATTGTAATGAATTAATAACACTCGTACTATTATTTCTGAATGTACATTATATCATATTGAACTTTATTCCAATATCTAATCGATTCCACACATGTATATAAATGAAGGAAAAAGTTGTGTGAGTAACTTGATATGATTATGAGCAACAGTTTGTGCTCGAAACGTCAACAGTTAATATAACTGTACAACACTGTGTGATTTATCAAAATAAAATCTTATCCATAATGGAATTATACTCTACCGCAGTGCCCAAGTTTTATACTCATATTAACGAATTAAGTTTATATAGTATACAAACCATGCAGTAATTTTTGGTCTAAGTTATTTAACAATATTATCTATCCATGATTGCTTATTGCTTTATCGCTTCACTATAATAAATTGTATCGAAAATTTTCCCAACTATGTATAGTTGTAAATAAATAAGCCAGTTTCTGTAGAATACATTACTGTAATTACTATTTAACTTCCTACTACTTTTATTTGAGCAAATCAGTAATTTTAATAAGTGGGTACAGCAGCAATTCGAATGAATAATCATTACAAGAGGACAGATAATCCTTTATACAATCTTTCACTGTTGTTCTCAGACGTGCAGGTAAGTTTAACCTGCTCACAGTTGACATACTCGAAATATGTACACTCCAACGGTTAGAAACTCTTCACAGCGTCAATTATTGGTGAGAACATACTTTGACTTCCCATCATCACATAAATTTTGTAAAGTGTCACCAAACTAGATCTAATTCTCCTCTCTAAAATTACCTCCATTTGTTTCTACCCCTTGTATCCTTTTATTTCCGTTTGCCTTTCCTCTTTGTACTGCTTCAAAAGAATGACAAATTTGAGTGAAAATTCTATGTTAATCTGTTTACTTGGCTGCATAGTAGGAGTTGTGCCGTTTAAGATAAAACAAACAGACTTTATTTCATATGGCACACACTAGGTAAATTACATAAGTACTATTTATAATTTCCTTCACAAAAAAAACTGTCATTCAGAGATGATACCTACTCATGCATATATACAATAGTAATCAGTTGTATGAGAAAAGGAATTTTCACTCAGTCTGCATACAACAATTCTCCAAGTTACTATAAACTTATACAACAGATAATTTAAATTCCAGTTAGCCACATTATAAACGTTGCCACAGGATAAATAACCGTAGTTATTTTAAACACATATATATTTTCAAGTATTGGTTTGTTAGGGATTTTGTTTAATTGCATGGAGGATTTCATCATGAACTGACATCAGTCAGAGAACCACTGGAAAACCTGGGAGTACTGGAAAGCTGTTTCGTCCTAGTTTGGGACTCTTCAGCAATACGCTCCATGCAATTAAACAAAATCCCTACCAAACCAATACTTGAAAATTAATCTGATGCTCACTAGTGACTGGCCCTATTCAGGCAGTTAACCTGGGGTTCTAGTGGGAAGCCGTGACCAATGGGGTAGAGCAGGTTGAAGATGAGGCAGTAACTCATCTAAGAAGACATATATATTTCCTGGTTGATTTGAATACTTAGAAACTATTCGTAGTATATATCAGGCTGTATTCATGCAAACTATTGATTTTCTAGAAGAAAAATAAAACTGCAATCAGTACTCAAATACTCACTTAGATCCTCAGCCAATTGTACACGTCTGCCAGTGATTAACTTCTTTAAGCGAAGAGGATCATTGGATATTTCATTCAAAACATGTTTCACATGATGTTCTAAGCGTCTTGCTGTTAGGAAAAATAATTTGAGTAAATTATATAAAAGGTGAAGCAAAAGTATACAGTAGTAATAATCATACACTCGGCGACTAGTATTTAAAGTAACCGGTTTGTGGCTAAATTTACATTCCAATTGATTGAATCTTACTTACTTACTTTACTGTCTCTATTTTGCATTTCTTCTACTTTCTTCACTTGCTTTGTGTGCTACATGGAGTGTGGCAACTCGAACTGCTGCACATCGGTGCAAAGTTCTATATTGAAACCAGTCAGTCAGTCAACCGCTGTGCCACCGACGCACACACAGTTGTCAATGTAGTGTAATTCACTTGCCATAGGCAGTCGACTTCGTACCAGTGAGCCTAATTTCGAGTCTTATTTCACACTTAGCAAAGTTTAGGTAACAGTGAACATACAGTGTGACCGACCCAATAATAAATACATTTCACAAACTAGTTCAAACTACTGTATTTAGATTCTCAGTAGCATCACGTAAACCCCTAGGTTTTAATAACACTTCGATTCATTACATTCAGGTTTTGAAGCTTGAAGTACCAATCATCTAAAAGTTAGCTAACATGTAGAAGAGTAACTGGACCGAAAACGGACTCGGTGAACCTTATCGTGAATCCCAAAGCTATTCATGAGTGATTAATGAAAATTTAATTGATATCAGAGTAGACTGTGTCACGAATATGGTACAGATTAGAGTAAACCAGGCAGTATTGAACAGCTGTTCTGTTTCACTTCAAGACTCTATAGAAAAATAAAGCTCGGCGGGGAATCAAGTCCAAAATCACCAAGTCACTAAGAGGGAATGTTGCTAGTAAAACCCTTAGTGAGGATCAAGTACCACTCATTTATGATTTAGCATCACGGCTGCCCGCTATCATCTGTCAGTGAGTTACTCCCATATTAAAGTTGACTCACATGCATAAACTTATTTTTAATCTAGAAATATTCCCACACCTCGAACGACAGTATAGATGAATTTCCACCTTATATTCACTCATATAATAAAGTTTTAATTTATAGTGCCATAAAACTGTTGGAATTTTATTTTACAAATATTCTAAAAATAAGAACTTAGTATAACAGACTAACGATGAAATGAACACAGATGGGTGTCAAGGTTCCAGGAAAAAGAATTTAGTGCTTCGCATCCACTACGTTGATAAGCAGCCTACTTTCCAAATGACCAAGTTTGGTTAAGATACATATTCTTTAGAATGTGAAAAAGAGACAAATATGCCACTTTCACTTCTGATAGCTTAGCAGCACGAACTTTCTTTATGTAGTAACACAATGAGACATTTACTACATGAAGGCTTAATACACCATACAGTTAGCTAAAAACTGAAATAAAAAGCTATTTAAATTGATCTGTAAAAATTCAAGCATTTACGTGAGAAGAAAATGACTCATTGCAACTGTAACTGTAACGGGAATTCGAAATCCACAACACCTTGATATACACTCTTCATTGGTAACAAGAGAGTAAAGAATGTCCTACATCTAGTCCTTCTTTTGGTGAAGACTGAATTCTATCAGTCAATTTAGGAAAGCAGTCATGAGACTAGATGGCTCACCATTGCGGTGCACTCTGAATCGATGTCAGATGGCTGGAGGTAATAAGCAGAAAGCCCTGGACCTACGTTTCGAGCCTACTGCCACTCATCAACAAGGCGTATCTGCAACTTTGAAGGAACTCATGTTCCTTCTGAGATTCGAATCTCCATCACCATTGATATACTCATGCTGAGAGAATCTGTTGAATGCAGTTCCTATTGAGACATTATTCAAACATCAAAAATAATCCAAGGTTATTTTGGTAAAAAAAAAGTGACATGAGCTTAAAAACTAGCCAATTCCAAATGGCTATTGGTCAAAAAAATCATTTCCATTATACTAAGATTAAAAGTAAAAAATGTACCTTCATCATTCATTATTTGTTGTCTCAGTGCATTACTAGTTGCATCTATCATACGAATTAATCGGGAGAAAAATATCACTTCACGACAATCTGGGAATTCAGATGACAAAATAGCCTTATCTGCACTGTATTGTTCACCAACATTCGAATTTCGTTCAGTCATATCAGAGGAATACATATTTGAATTAGTTTTATCAAATGAAGAGGTATTTAAAAAGCCATGTTGATAATAGTAAAAGCCTTTTCGACATTCTTGACAAGTGTACAGTGATCGTTCAAGGTACAAACGTCTCACTAAAGGCTCCCAGATTTCATTAATCTATAAGTGAAAAAAAATTCAAAGGTAAAGAATAACGAAGATACTCTGAAAGCTGTTGACATTTATATAAATATTTTAAATGAAGTTTAATTTATAGATTTGTGGAACATAGTGTTTTAAAATGCAGTTTGGCTAACCGGCTTACATACTTAGCTTCCAACTAACAGCTCTGGATTACTCAACAACCACTTGCGATTCCATGCAGTTGACTATAAGCCACACCTATTATATGAGGGGCTAGTGGTACTACTTGACTGCCCAAACCTAGGTAGATAAATAATGGTTCGAACCTGTGACCTACTGGTTGAAAGTATAAAACCAAGACCAGTGAACCACAACACTCCATTAAACCACATCTACTGCCAGAAAGATTGTTCAAACTTTTGTAAAAGGTGAAGATATAGACCAGGTAACTTTGGTTATTAAGACTGAAATAGTTTGATCACTGAACCTAGTAAGATGGTACAGTAAAAACACACGAATATGTAAATTATTAATATTTCAATATATGTATAATATATGTATTGTATATAGTTACTACCAGCCATTTCTTAAGTATATCCTGTGTAGTTAAAGAAACGAAAATCAGATAGATATGAAGAACGTGTGGAGTTACACAACCGTGTAACTCCAACAGGCCAGCAACAACAAACGCAAGTAAAATAAATAAAGATATATTAGGAATTATCAATTTAAACAAAAATAAAATGTACATGAATCTACTGCACTGGACTATATGTTCAGCTTTATCCCAACCAACTACAAAACAAAATGAAGGATTAAAAGAGTTACTGCAATAATTTATTGCTAATCATTGTCTGTGTACTAAACAGTGTCAGTGTCAGTAAGTATGGTATGTGCTTTGCACCGTCTAAGTGCAAAGTACTGTTACAACATTGTCAGGAGCCTGTACCTGCACTCACTCTTGCGGGTGAACCCTTTGAAGTTGTTGATAAGTTTGTGTATCTGGGCAATTGTGTGAGTGCTAACGGAGGGGTGACGGATGAGATTTCCAACCGTATAATGAAGGCTAAGGTGGCATACATCAACTTGAGCAAACTCTGGCGCCGTTGCGACGTTAGCCTGGCTTTCAAAGGTCGGGTATACAATGCTTCGGTGCGGGCTATCTTGCTCTACGCCTGTGAAACCTGGCCTCTCCAAGCTGAAGATGTGCGGCGACTCTGCGTGTTCGATCATCGCTGTCTCCGCAGGATTGCTTGCGTTCGATGGCATCATCGCGTGAGCAATTCTGAGGTCTGGCAACGTGTGTTTGAACACAGTGGAAATCACCATTCACTGAGTGTCGTCATCGGGAAACACCGGCTTCGGTGGCTTGGACATGTGCTGCGAATGTCACCCCAGAGGCTTCCGTACAGGTCTCTGTTCGCTAGCCCTGGGATGGGATGGAAAAGGCGAAGGGGTGGTCAGTCCATGACGTGGGGTCGTGGGATGAAGGATGTTTGTGCTAGATTAGCATCGGTTGGTGCGTCACGACTCCCTGGTCGGGGTCCACGAGATAGCTCGAATCGATGACCCGAAACGTTATCGGATATGGCCAAGAATCGTAATCAATGGCGAACGTACTGCAATTTCCTTCTTTCTTCCGTTCCTGAAGATAGTTAACGAATACTGTTTGAACTTGTTTAACATGACTGTTTTCCTTCCAGATGAAGTTCTTTATCCATTTTCTACTTATATTTTTACTTTTAATCTATGTTGTTTTATTATTATTGTGTGGCGCGTTCAAATAATAATAAATAAATACTAAACAGTTTAGTGATCAAAGTGTTGGCTGAAAAAAATGTTTTCCAACGTAAAGCTGACGCAGTCTACTTATGTACACATTCATCAAAACTCCAATCAAACCACCCAAAAGCAGTTTTCTGGCACAATAACCTGTCATATGAAAATGATTGCTTACTAGAGAGCTCGGGAAAATCAGGTAGATTTCAGTCTGAACAAGGGTGTATTGATCATATTTTAACGCTTTGACAGGTTCTAGAACACAGACATACTTACCGGTGACTAACCCTTGATATATTTATAACCTGACGGAGGCATTTGACCCCACTGGTCGAAATGTACTGTGAAGAATTATGTAATGACTAAAGGTTTCTAACTTCACTAAAACACTCACCATTTTATCTGTAACAGGGACTTTACGAGCTTGTAAATTGCGTCTAACAGTTGTCAGATCGTCCGGTGTAATATGCGCAGTTGGTTTCTATAAATGAAAAGAAAAAGAGTACGCCAATTCTTTTCGAAACTCAAATGACCGTGAAAAAACAACGAGAACAGAGTAATTTGAAATAAAGCATAATTTGATTTTATGAATATAATTTTGACTAAGTCCAAACATTTTTTTATTTCTACTGAGTGATATTCGTTTATGTACAAGTCTATCCAAGAGCAGGAACTTATGACACACAGGTAATAATAGGTAAACAAACCATGTATTAGAATAAACCCGGTCGGTCGGTCGGTCGGTTTTCGACATAGAACTTTGCACATATGCGCGGCATTTCAAGTCGCCACAATCTATGTAGCACGCAAAGCAAGAGAAGAAAGTAGAAGAAATGCATAATATAGACAGTAAACAGAGGTGTGAGACAAAGGAATAGTAATAACGGAGAACAAAACCCATTTGCATGAAATAAGAAAGCTGAGATATATGATTATTATGGATTTTACACTAGGTAACTAAACACAGCGGTAGAATGCTCGCCAACCACGCAAGTGGTCCAGGGTTCGACTCCCGGTCATCGCACTCCTAAACCTCGCTAAGCCAGTTAATAAGACTGGTAAAGAGGGGAGGTTTGGTATGAGGCTAGCAACCGCATCCTGTAAAAATAAACATCACTGCTACTGAAACTTCAAGCCTCTAGCTTGAAGCCCTATGTTCCACTGGGGACGTAAAGGAATTAAAACAAAACTAAACATAGCTCGGACAAAAATGTCTATATATCTTATGTGAAAATGAAATCAAGATTCAAGGGGAATTCAAACCAATCATATTGGGAAAGTGATAGAGTAAGTTAAACGTACTGGAAGCGAGATGAGTAAATTTTCAATTTCTTTAGCAGTTTGCAGACGAGCCTGTTCTTCTGGAGTGCGCCTTTTCCAATGGGTCCACTGTTCGAGCCATCCTGGACCAAAATTCGAAGCGATTGATTGGTTCACTTTAAAAATATAAAATATAACATTTTAGCAATAATTAATAGGTGGGAAAAAAGATGAAAAAATGAACATGAGTGTTGAAGGCATATAAAAATTTATTTGTTTGAATGTTACCAAACGTATATCTAATTAACAAATCGGCAAAGTTAAGCTTTAGACACCAGTAACAACCAATCAGCAAACGACCTTGAACGGACCAATCACATGAAAGAGGCGTTTATGAAAAGTATATTTATAGAAAAATGCATAAAAAATAGGATAAAACAGTTACAACGGGTATCTTTCGCGAACATGGAACAGAAACATTTCCCAATTCAGCATCGGACTGTCAATAGAAAAGTCGCACCACATTCTGTACATATATTCATCTAAATGACTATAAATGAGATCCTTTTGGGATCCATTTATAGCCCTTATCCGATTTTTCAACCGGCTCCAAAATCCTTCAATAGAATTTGTATGAGTTCCGGCAACTGGATCCACAAAATCGTTTGAATGGTTCACTCGGTGATGACTATATCCCAAGGATGAAAGCGAATTATAACCTTTCCACTTGTCCGTGTGTATAAATGAACCCCGTTTGACAAGTCTCGTTATAATAGGTATTAACGTAGTCGCCTTTCTATCTCCTATTCTTTCAACGAATCCCTTTCGGAGGGAAGTATCGTATAAACCTATAACCCAGATATTATTCGCTCGCTGGCGACCACGATTGTATTTCTTCTTCAGCAACACAGTCTCATCCACGTGCACTACAACGCCGTCCCCGCCCAACAACGAAGTAATCTTCTCCATTTTCCAAGATGCAATATCTCTACAATGCTGGTACCATTGGACTGTTGAGACGAGGCTGTTCTCAGTCTCGGCAGCTGCAGCTCTCACTGGCTGTTTCAATACCCAGTAGTTGCAGATATATAAAATTTGCGTCAACGAGAGGTGTGACCTTGCAAAAAATGTTCCTACGAAATATTAAAATTATCAACTTACCCTCTCTAATGCTAACACGCTTGGAGCATATAGCACAACGATGGACAAATCCATCAATTGACCTACTATAGCTTTTTAAGGTCATGATACCCCCATACGAACAAGTTCGCTCCTTCCGGAGCAACCCTAAATCCAGACAATACTGGAAAACAGTGTCCTCCTCGAATTGCAAACGTAACCTTGTAAGGGCACGCATATGAAATGAATCAAGCGCTATACAACATTGAACTGCGTTCGTGAATCTCATTGGACAAATCGACGTCTTTCGCTGATTGGTAGTTACTGGTGTCTAAAGTTTAACTTGGCCCGTTCCCAGTGGAAGATAGGGCTTCAAGCCAGAGGCTTGAAGTTTCGGTAGCATTGGTGATTATTTTTACTGGATGCGGTTGCTAGCCTCGTGCCCAACCTTCCCTCTTTACCAGTCTTATTAACTGGCTTAGCGAGGTTTAGGAGTGCGATGACCGGGAGTCGAACCCCGGACCACATGCGTAGTCAGCGAGCATTCTACCGCTGTGCCAACGACGCGCATAGACATCAAATACAAAAAAATAACCTGACAGAGAACACCAATGGAAGAGGTAATAAATGTGTCCGAAAACAACAAATAGTACATTGTTACACAACAGCCGGATGACTAGGCTACTTCATCTGGAGCAACCCAACTACTATACGCAATTGTGCATTACAAAGTTTCAACAGAAACTAACTGTGCGAGATAATCTCCCAATATCACTCGTAATAATTACGTGACCAACTGCCTCTGTTATCTGATTTCCAAACGATGGTCTATGGATTTTAATTCTGTCCAAATATTTAACCATGTGTACTCTTAAGCAAATGACGTCATTCACAGCCTAGTGTGCAAGCCTGTACAGCTTAAGCAATTTACATTGTTGTTTCATTCGTTTCTATTCGAAGAGTACCTCATGAATCTTCACAGAAAATAAGTCAATGAAAAACCCTCTTAAATATAAAAATCACTACAAACATTTGACTAGGGCAAAGTTAAACTTTAAGCACCAGTAAGTACCAACGGACAAATGAACTTGAACGCACCAACCACATGATAAAGACGATTTCTGCGAACAAAGTACATATATTGGTGAATATAATGAATTAAAAGGCATGCAACTGTTACACAGGATACCTTTCCTTGACGTGTGACAAAAGCACCTTTCATTTTGGACTGGAGTTTCAACAGAGTAATTTAACCATATTTCTACGCACATAATTACCTAGGTCTTCTAATCCTAACCCTAACTCTAGTCTTTCCTTAACCTAACCCTAATGTGAAAATATCCATAAACTAACCCTATTCGAACTCCAACCAGCCCATATTTTGCCCTCATTAGATTAACCTAACCCTAATCTGTCCGTAGCCTAAACCTTAACGTAATGCTTCCCAAACCTAACCTGCAGCTTGGTAGATATCCCATTTAATAAAATAACACTTCATTAAGCATATTTTATTCATGATTACGATGTTATTTACCAGGTTTCACTAACTTACTCACTGAGCGTCTCAAAGTCATTGATTGGTGCGGTCGTACACCTCTGGTACTTACTTACTGGTGCTTAAAGAAGTTTAACTTGGCCATGAAAAATGAAATTGTACAGATCAACAGATAATAAAGGATCTCATGAAATTTACCGTCTTTTAGTCTATCCTTAACTGCTTGCTCAAAAAGATCCACTGCCGCAGTCCACTGAGCTTTAGTATGCACAGTATGATCATCTAATGCATTGGATTGGATAACACGCTAAAAATGTAAGCAAATTAAAATCCACACCATCAGTAACTTAAACAAAATATTTTTCAAAATATACCTCTATTAATACAATTGAGATTATAACAGTTTCACCAGAAATTCTGCAAACTGTGGTCATTTTGTCTTGAAGATAGGGACGTTTTCAACGAAATACGTTTTTGTGCACCCCACATCCTCCAATGGAAAATAAAATGTGACGGGTATATTAACGTCAAATTACAATATAATGAACTAGGTTAATAAACTATCAGAAAATCTACACTTTAGCTCCAGACAACGGTCTCCATTTAAAGAATTGATTCATGCTGCTGAGACATCTGCTGAGGTTTTTCTGCAGTAGACAGTTAAAGACTTACTAGATGATTCTCATATGATTCAGCGAACGACCGCCTCGAATAAAAGTTAACCATTAACCTGTAAGTATCTAAGTGTTGTGCTCAATATGTTGATAGAAAGGTTTAATAATAAAAAAGATGTTGCACAAATACATTACACGATTCAGACAAATTACGTCTTCTTATTGCTTTATCTAAAAAAGGTTTCATGTATTTCACTCACAAGCAAACTAAATATCAAACTACATTTTCTTCCTAAGTAAAACTTGCGAAATAGTTTAAGGACAGCGCGTTAAGTAATGGTTGAATGCAAAATGGAATAATAAAAGTCTAAATGACTATGCTTCAAAATAAAAATCAATATTTGCAAATCCAATTCATATGAGAATGAAACTACAAAAACCACAAGCAAACCTACTAATCTAGATTCAGCTTTAGGATCCCAATCGTGACGTTTTCTGGTCTCTTGATGTACAGCTTCTTTTAATGGATCAAATAGTGGATCATGACCTGGTGCATTCTGTACTGTCTTTAATTTACTATCCAATTGATTATATAGTGTCAGCCAACCAGCTTTGATTGAATCCTTTGGTAAATCATTTTCAACCCATTCACGAAGCCATATATCAATGTTTGTTTGAAATGTTCTACAGTAAAGTAAAAAGATACGAAATGAAAATGACTCCCCTGAAATTTTGAATACAAATTATATTTCTGACAAATAATAATTAGCCTCCAAATATTTAGGGGAGATATTCAAATGTTACATGATTTTATGAAAAACAAAAGTAAATCTTTACAATTCTCTTTTCGAAGGTACTGCCTTCAACGAAGACACTGATACAGTGATGTTATCCTCTACTTATTTGGAATATTGCTAGCTCACCTGGTGAATAACAGAACCACCTCTATCATGAAATCTGCTGACAAGTGCAAAGTTGGTCTGATATACAACTGGAAATGTCACAATTATGGTGTACTTACCGGTGACTTTGAAGTTTTATAGCCTTTCACACACTTTATGAATCATTCACTTATAATTATTGTTCATTCTGCATCTCTTATGTTTCACGTTAGCACCTGTAGAAAAATGCTATTTACCTTCCACAATTAACACAATCATTTATAATTCCCGCGTGAAATTGACATACCTTATTCTTTTCAATTACAGTTTCGATTTGACGCTATATCTTATGACATATTCTGTCGAAAGCAGATCTCAAAAATTATCTATTAACCAGTATTCAATCTATTTCTAGATTAACAAATCATATTATATATTCTATAAGTTCTAATTAGTGTGCATATGTTCATGCCTGCTAAAATGGCTGGTTTCTGTTCCAGAAATAAAAACTTATTATTATTATCAGCGGTTCGTTTGCATGAAAACTGATAAGTAAATATATTATAAGTAGTCATTAATTGAAGGTCAAAGGTGAATGTGTCCAATAAAACTCCTGTCTAATAAAATAAGCAACATTTTATGCTGAAAATTGACAAATTCGACAAACAACAGCAAGCAATTCTTATTTACAAAAGTTGAGACTGTGAACCAACCGATCACCGGTTCGATTAGAGAGCAATTGGTCACGAATCTAAATTAGATAACAGAAGTCTTCAAAAAAGTACATGTGTGGTCCATTTAATAAAGCATAAATCTCTATGTAGCCACTGCATTGAATCGATCATATAATTATGCAGAATCGGTTGGAGGATTTCATCATGAGCTGATATCAGTTCGAGAACTACTGGAAAACCTGCAGGGAATACTGTACAGCTGTTTCGTCAGCCTAGTTTGGAACTTTTCAGCACTACACACCCACCACCAGGGTTCGAACCCAGGGCCCTCTGCTTACAAGGCGAGCTCGTAGACCACTAAACCACTGGGACCCGATCCAATGGACAGCCCATGAATTCTAACTTCTGCCAATTCGTGACATGGCGCGACCACAACGCAACGTTTTCTTCAATGAGTTATTGCCTCACCTTCAACCTGCTGTACCCTACTGGTCACAGCTTCCCACTAGGACCTCGGGTAACAGCCTGAATAGGGCCAGTCGCTAGTGAGCATCAGATCAATTTTCAGGTATTGGTTTTGTAGGGATTTTGCTTGATTGGTTGAAGGATTTCATCATGAGCTGACATCAGCAGAGTCATTTCTGATAAGGAAGTCAAGGCATTTCGGTAGAGATTGATTGCCTTTGTAAATCAATCAAATAAGTAAAAGCAATACGCTAAACGCCTTATTGATCTAAAGGCAATTCAGTTCCTTAAAACTCAAAGACGCATTATTCAAGGCTCATAGAACCCCTTTTATGTTAGATAAGCTTGTTTCAAATACTACTTTTAGTTGAAAAAAGGTTTACTTATTGGTTAACCAACAATTAACTTGTCATTCAGTTGACAAAGTCTCAGGCTGGTAAATCATAGGCCTCTAGACTGAATCCTACAGCAACATAAATTTCCATTTCACCTTTCATCACTGTCTATTATATCTTAACAGGTATGTAGGCTTTAAAAATGCGGTAGTACACTACAGATTCCATTCAACAAATCCACATTGTATAAAAACCAAAACACATAAAACATTTTCATCATAGCATTAAAACACAAACCAATTACCCAAGATTATCAATATGTTGTGAAGGTTCAATTATTTTAGTGAATATATAGTCTTTCAATTTATTCCATAATTCTGAGCGGATACTTTTTTCCCAAACTGTTGAACTGATACCGTTTAAGGAGATTAAATCATCTAAAATGTTGTTACGAGCTTTTTCAAATAATTCTTCACGATCCATTTCACGTAAATGAGGGAAAGAATTTTTCCATTCAGTTTCAAGATTATACCGGATAGCTAGAAATTTCATTGAAAAAAAATAGAGCAATTCAAGAGAATGAAAATATCAAAATTTAATAGGGTCAAATGTTCTTAAAAATCTATCTCTACAGGTGGCCTTTCTGATCATGAATCTCTTCAACATTTATGACAAACAATTAAGATGTTTTTCAAACGACTAGTCTGCATATTCTCAAGGACAAATCACAAGTAATGCGCCTAGTGATAACAACACTGAACTTGGTTTTATGTTTTTTTTCAAGGATACCTTTAACTCGCTGTATATTATTCATATGAACAATGATCAAGATTTGACCGAATAGTTCCAAAATAATTGAGGGTCGAGTGAGAAGTAGACATATGTAAAATTATTTGTAACATTTCAGAGAAATTAAAATAAGTAATTTCAGATGAAATTATGAAAGCATTGGAACTGTGTCTACGCTCCACGTTATTTACATTTAGAGGGATTCTTGGCCGTCAAACAGAAGGTAATGCTACGGAGTGAGTTAATTCAACTGAATAGGTCAGACTAGTAGGTCGGGGGTAGTCAGATTATCAGAACATAAGAATTTAGCTAAGGGAATAATGGTTGACCCCAAGAAAATAAGTAATTTAGAAAAAAACTCAGCTATTGCACTTCACGCATTAACAAACAACCACACAATAGGGTGGGAGAGGGTTAAAATTCTAAAAAGTAATATAGGTAGGTGGGGAGAGAGGTTGATTACGGAATCCTTGTTCATCGAGTCTACACCCAACACATAAAACAGAAATGACTCAATGCAAATACCAGAAATATGGAAGATATTATTACCTCCGGTCAAATCAGAAGAGAATAATAAATAATCTTAAAATTCCATTTCAATTCAAGCACATTACAACATTCTAAGAAGTAACTTATTATGGACTATAAAAACACTCGTTTTATTTCCCATCTAATTTCAATTGATCAATAACACTCGTATCATTACCACCAGTCAAATCAGGGGAGGATAATAAATAATCATAAAATTCTATTTCAATTCAAACACATCAAAATATTCTAACAAGTAACTTATTATGATTGTAGAAACACTCGTCTTTTTTCCCATCTAATTGTAATGCATCAATAACACTCGTATTATTATAATTTCTGAATGAACATTATCTCATATTGAATTTTATCCCAATATCTAATCGATTCCACACATGTATATAAATGAAGTAAAAAAGTTGTGTGAGTAACTTGATATGATTATGAGCAATAGTTTATGCTCGAAACGTCATCGGTTAATATTAGTGTACAACACTGTGTGATTTATCAAAATAAAATCTTATCCATAATGGAGTTATGCTCTACCACAGTGCCCAAGTTTTATAGTTATATGAATCCTAAAAGATTGAACATGTGTGAAGATGTGATGTTAGCTGATGTATGACAAGTCCTGATTAATAAATAAAAGTGGATATGTATCATAAAAACAAAGAATTCAGCGAAGAAAATTCTCTTGACGACGATTTCATTTTCATATCTGTACAATCGTATAGAATTACAACAGACACTAACAGTCAGTTATGTATCATTAATCAACCAGGCTTGGTCTAAATTCCCGATTGTCTATAGCTTTTTATGGAGAGGACAACAAACGATTTACAAGTGTTACCGCATATACATGTATATTTTTCCTATTTAGTTATCTACGACCATGAACTTTAGTCAAACGTAATCACCAAAAATCCGATCCAAAAGTACACACTGTTTACAGTGTTTAACAAAAGTAGACTAATATTTGTAGGTCTGAGGTCAAATTTTGATCACAGTTCATGCAATTTTGTATATTATATATTGATGCCTGTTCAAGACTCATATGGTTGGACAATGCTTCTAAAGACAAGATATGTATATACCTTTGTTATTCTAATTTTGATTAATTCCCCTGTAAAAGTTCGGACCATTTTGCCCAACGAAACGTTGGAATTACTCATTGCAATTTTGCTGAGATTTTACGAATATAATTTTTACATATGTCGATGTACACAAGTTATGCTATTCAGTGAGAGATAGCATTGCCAAATGATTTTAGGTAATATCAAACAAGGCTTAAAATTAAAACCAGTGAGCACCATACTCTTGTTTTCTCGCATCTTTTATTTTATAAAGTAATGAGAAACTCTGATTGACACTAGATAATTACAATGAAGAATCAATAATCCTCGTTGTGTTCATTGAAACTCGACAATAAAATATATCTGTAGATTATAGGGATCTATCGTTCTTTCAAAGATTTGGATGAAAAAAACTATTTCTGCAGTTACAGACACTATTGTCAAACTATTTAGACTGCAGTAGAATTTCGGGAGAATCGAGTGAAAGACACTAAATTTACCGCCTTCAACCACTTATAGCCAAGTCACGAAATATACCATTTATTCACTAGGAAAGACAGTTTTTATTCAGCTTGGAATCAAACAAACTGTATGACGACGGTCAAATTAAAATCTTGACGCTGAGAACTCGGATATTAACTAGAACTACAAAAGTTATCATCAGCTACTTTCGCTTCTTAATCAATGTAAAGAGAGTCTTATCAATGTCATATATGAGATCTCTTATCTGGGAATTTGAATTCATGTATCACCAATTCGCCTAAGTAGTTAGCCAAAATTCAGGTGGTTTGAACCGATTCCATTCTGGGCCAAGTCAGAATGAGTAAATCGCTGATCAGTTATCCTCAAAATGAGTTAAATAGCTGTCCGGTGTTTAGATCATTTCGATCTGACTGGTAGTCCCTACTGATTTACATAAGCGGTTTTCAACTACTCATATCAATCAGTAGTATATATTATTATGCATAATTTTATTTTCCGTACAGCATATGATTTCGCGCGTCACAAGTCTTTGTAACCGTTCAAAAATGTACCACATTTGATTTCTTCTAGTTGCCGATAATTATATTGATTATTAAAAAGCACGTGTATAGTGCTGAAAATCAATAGAAAATATACGTTTGAGCTAAATTGAATGTTCTAAAGCTAACGTTGAACACGCATTGTACACTGCATGAACTATCATAAATATTTAAGTATATGAGTTTGATTAAACAGAAACACTTTCCATTATCAAACGTTGTGTTGGATATCACATTAAATTATTATGAACAATAAGGATATATATATATAGTCATATTATAAGCTTTGAGAAGTTTCAGTGTGAAATAAGAAGGCTATATCCGCTAAATTAGTGTGCATTAACGGAAAAATAATCATGTAATAATTGGCTTCAAAATGATGAATACTTGTAGTTTAATATGTACAATATACAATCCTGTTACAATAAAATGCTATTCACTCTTTCCCATGAGGATGGATAGGAGTTAGGCAGCAACATCCAGCGCCAATCACCATCAACGGGAGGGATTTGAAAGAGGTTACTTCATTCACTCACTTGTCTAGGGAGCATTGTCTCAACTACAGGAGGAGTGGACGAGGATGTCAAATCGAGAATCGGGAAGGTGAGAAATACATTCATCAACCTGAAACCAATCTGGAAATCTTCGTCACTCAGCCTGCATCAACAACAAAATTCGGATTTTCAATACAAACGTCAAGTCAGTCAGTTCTTCTATACGGATCAGAAACTTGGCGGCGGGTCACAAAGAATATTTCCAACAGCCAGTTGCAAACCTTTATCAACAACTAACTGTCTTCGTTCTATACTGAAGATTAGATGGCCGGAAAGAATCACAAACGAGAAGCTATGGGAACAAACAAAACAGGAACCAATCGCCCAACAAATATGCAGGAGAAAGTGGAGGTGGATTGGACACTCACTGAGGAGGCCGTTGGGTAACATCGCGCGTCAGGCCAGTGCTCGAGTGGAACCCGAAAGGGAAGTGGCGAGTGGGTCGTCCAAGGGTGACATGGAGGAGATCGTGTGAAGAGGAGTTGAAACAGTATGGACTAAGATGGATGCAGGTGAAAAGTACAGCAGAAGACAGAAACAAGTGGAGACGTGCAGTTGAAGCCCTATGTTCCACTAGGAACCCAAAGGACAAGAAGAATAATAATATTTCAAATATTGACAAGAATTATGTTCTGAATGACTGGTTCGTTTGTTTCCAACCATTGTTCTTACAACTTAGAGATGATGAAGACTAAAATGTCAACGGTTTACAACATACTTAGGTCTTCAACTTTACTGATATTTTCTGACGACCGTGATTTCTAGTGCATATTTTTTGTAAAAGTTATCAGAAACATCGTAATTTAACTCTTGAGTATCTCTCAATACAAATGTCCTTTTATAATGACAACATGTATTCTCTAAATCTCAGTGGAGCTGTTGTTCATCGAGTTTAGACATTCAACTTTTAACCATTTCGTCGCAGATTCGAATTCCCTCGCCCATATATATGTATTTCAGGTCTGTGGATTTAGAAAGTGCCGCCAACCCTTATGCAACATTCGGAGTGTGTAAATGCATGTTTAGGTTGAATAACATTTCATTTTAATTGGGAGAAATACTTAATTGATGTATAAACATTCTCAAGTATTGGTTTTGTAGGGATTTTGTTTGATTGCATGGAGGATTTCATCATGAGCTGACATCAATTAGATAACCTGGGAGTACTGGACAGCTGTTTCGTCAGCCTAGTTTGGGACTCTTCAGCACTACGCACCCACCGCCAGGGTTCGAACCCAGGACCTTCTGGTTACAAGGCGAGCTCGTAGACCATTGAGCCACTGGGACCCGATTCAATGGTCCTTAAAATCCTCCATGCAATCAAACAAAATCCCCACAAAACCAATACTTGGAAATGAAATATCCTTATACAAAACCAAATAATTATCATTCTACGATACAAATAGTATACTTTATGCAAAACCACTTCTACTCACCTCTGTAAGTATCAGCTTGTTGTTCTACTGAATCTCTTACCATTTTCCAAAATCTTTCTGATACAGCCTTACTAAGATTGGCTGTTGTCATCTGAGACATACGAAGTGTCCCCTCTTTGAATAAACGAGAATGACGGAAGAAATTCTCTTCATATTCTTTAATGCTTTCTATGCTTTCGTCTTTTTTACCTGAACAACACAAGATGAACAGTGTTGATAATTGAGAGATAAAAAAGTAAGCGGAAAACATACCCTTTCCAGTAACAACAGCAAAGTAGCCGAGTGCTTTCATTGGGAATAATCTCCCTTCTAATATCTGTCTGATCTAGTAAAGAGGAAATAAAACCGGGATATGAAATAATAACTCACTCGATCAGGATTATGCATATTGGATTCGGCCAGGTCTACTTTTGTTAAAACAAATATTGTCCGTTTGCCTGATGGATCTACAGAGGATACTAAATCTGTCACATTGCTACGCTCTGCATCGATACTTCCATCTTGTGTAGTGAACAGACAGGGAAAGATAGACAAAGTAAAAAGATTATGTACAAGAATAAAGCAGAGTAAATAATTCTAAGTCACCTTCAATGGTGTCTTGTATAAGTTTCATAATGAAAACAGTGTCTTAATTAGATTGTTAAGGTCAGAGGAGATTAATTTAGTGCGACGAAACCAATCAGTATTATTTCTTAGTTGAGTCGCAAATTGAAATGCTTTTCAAGTGTTGGTTTTTGGGGATTTGATTGGTCACAGGATTTTCATTATGAGCTGACATTAGTTAGAGAACCATTGGAAAACCTGGGAGTATTGGACAGCTGTTTCGTCCTAGTTTGAAACTGTTCATCAGTACGCACCCACCGTGATTCGAACCCAGGACCTTCTGGTTGCAAGGCGAGCTCATATACCATTAAGCCACTGGGACCCGATCCAATGGCCCATGAATTCTAACTTCTGCCAATTCACGACATATCGCGACCCCTAGCCAATGTCTTCGTTGAGTATTTGTCCTCACATCCGACCTGCTGCATCCTACTGGTCATGAAATGCTTTTCATCTGTTTGATTTAGAATGTTCGATTACCACTCCACGTGCTTATACTCTAAAAACGACTGAAGCTAATACGCGAAATCGAACACTGAGCTATATTTTGTCACTTGTCATCTAAATAAAAGCGCACAGAACACACGCGTCGGTTCAGCCACTTTTTGCTGAAGCATAACATGAAGGAATAAAAGAAAACCATACAGTACAAACAAATGAAAAACCTACATAAAGTAACTTTAAAGTTTGCATGGAGGCTAAACGATGAGGAAGAAACTAACCTTGGACACACAATATTATTGCATTTGGATTATTCATATACTGTCGTGCAACATCCTGTATAGTTTCACGGGTACCTGATTGCATGCCAGTAGTCACAGTAGATATGATCCCGGGCAAATCGACAAGAACCATTCTCTGAAGTCCTGGACCTTTTACATTCAGTGAGATTACTTCAGTGCTGATTGTTTTTCCACCGCTAACAAGAGCTTTCATACGCATCTGCAGAACGAAATCAATCACAATTTATGTCGTACAAATTGTGTATTCAAAATTCACGTAAGTGGTGGATAGTAAATAATTAACAGGTTTCAGTAAAAACACCATTACTGCATTGAAATTTATAAGTATAAATAACATGCTATACAAATTATTAGTTAGTGAATAAAGAAGCACCTACTTTCAATAAGCAAAATGTAACCGGTCATAAAATATGCGGAATATTATTGAGAACAGAAAACAGTTAAATCTGCAAAGAAATAATCTTTACAGGACAATAAGTATAAGTGAGTCTGACAGTGTGCACACTGACAGAAAATCGTATTAATTCTTCAGGTTATTGAAGTAAAAACCATGTAAACAAAACTTTTATCAGCTATGGATGACTTCTCAGTTAAGGGTAGATTGCCCTTTAGACATCATTTGCTTATTCGACTGAGTACAAGGCAGTTTACCAAGCGCATTGTTTCCCACCCTGATTTGTCATGACTGGGTGGTTATCTTGATAAAATAGTAAAAAGTGATTATTGGTGTCGGTCCATCCGCACAAAACATCTTATGTAGATAGATCTGTTTTTCTCTTTGGTTTTGATTCCTTACTTAAGTATTAAAATCTCCTGTTTAATACGACTATATTTATGCGCTTCGCTTCTAGAATCGAACTAGATAACTTCCACCCTAGACTCGCTTAGAGTTAGCATAGGTGAACGCCTATCACTACGTTTTCCTTTTCTTTAGGATCCCCATCAGCTGGAGAGAAAACACACACGACTACCCCTGTGAGATAAATCTAGAAGTGTCTTTAATTTCAGAGCCCTTTGCTACTCTTACACCACAATGAAATCTTCTGATTCGCATAGACTGAAGTGCGCAGATTAGTTATATTTACTAGGTGAGGGTTAAGTCTTGTATATGTTTTGAGAAGACACAATATGCATCTGCAGTGTGAGATTTGATCATCTTTATTAGCTAAGAATGTTATCTGGAGTTTGAGAGCTCCATCGAGGAAGTTGAAATTTCTGTTTAAAGCCGTTAACAATGGTTACACAGTTGAAGGAAATCGGGACAAACTGTATGAGAGATTGTATCAACAGATGGAATTTTTGAACTTCGAAGAAAATTAGAAATGAACAGAACAGATGATAATTTTTGTGTGCTGACGGAAGTATGTGGACGGCTGTCGCTTCCTGGCTCCCCGTAATGTCCAATTGAATTTCTCGGAGTACTTAAAAATATAACTACTTCACGGAAAATTTGCTGGAGCCTCGTTACAAGCGGCTTGTCGGAAGTGATAGAATTTGTGAAGATTTACCTGTAAGAAAATGTTACTGTCAGCTACGAACTGTCATCGGAAAAATCAGGATATACGACTTTTGTGGATAACCTTTTCCAGCCCCATCTCCACCAAATTAGAAGGCAGTATATCTGGTTTGCTAATCACAGAAGGGCACACCTTAGTTTCGCTAAACTCCTCTCATCCTACCGCATGAATTCACCCTTCTACCCCCACTAAAGTGTCGACAAATTACACTGGGACGACAGCTACCATCCAACGGACGTGTCTGATTTGTCATTTCACTAATTCTAACTCTCTCAGTTATTGTAATTTACAAGTTTGGTAGTGCTGCTCACCACTTAGAAGATATAAAGATGTGGTTTATCAGACCGTGCACTCAACTACAGGTGATGGTTTAAAGTTTCAAATCCCTCCTCACCTACTTTTACCTTGACATCACGGTAGTTTTGTAATCTACCACATCAAACGCGGCCCAAAGCCTACTGTAAAAATTTGGGGCAGATCATTGTGTTAAACTATTTTATTATACTATTCGAGAGATATGTGAGTTTCCCTGTTTTTCACCTACCACACAATGACCTCAGATGCACAAACATGAACTTTCGTAAACTAACTATATATCAACTATTCAACCAGATAGTTACCTTTAACTAGAACTCAGTTACCTACAACACACTGCGCATGTATCATGGCACGCACTATACTTCTTGAGTAAAGAATGATGATATTATCCAGTGAATCAAACTGACACCCAAACCCGAAACTTACTGGCTAAAATTACGATGATAAAGCGATGAAGCTACCAACTACACAGAGCCAGAATAATTTTACTGGAAAGTCAGCTATCTAACTCGTAACCTGTACCGGAACAAATGCATATGTACGGGTCGCTGAGAATATAGGTGCTTGAATTACGAATTTCTAGGAATACTATACAGCTGAACAAACAGAAAGTTTAGTGGAGGGAACCATGCAACTCTTTTGATCTAGTTCAAGTTTAGACGATCTCAGGTCAAGGCAACAAAAGGTATGTATCAACAGTCCCTATTATTTTTAAGCTTACGTGAGGTGGTGAAGAGACAAAAGCAGTACATTAATACAAAATGGGTTCATGTCGCAAAATTTGAATGGGATTTTATCATGAATACCTTTTTAAATAGGTTATAATCTAAAAATTTGAAGAAAAATCAGGTTTGCCAAAAATAACTGTACAACTATGAAATCTAACAACTAAGAATGATTATATAACGCCTCATAACAACTAAAGTGTACTAGCGTCGAATACTAGTCTTTTGACTTTTCTCTTGTAGCCTTTCACCACAAATACATATTAAAATCCAAGAAATCTGGTGGCCATTAAATCAGTATTGCAATCTACATTGACTCTGAGACTTCAGGCAACGGTTATAGTTCTCCTAACTGAACCCGATAGCATTACTGATTTTGAGACAATAAACACCCTTAGGTACTCTACTTTATTGAGTTACGCTTTTATTTATTCGATTACAGAGTCTGTACATAAAGTTTAAAGTTGCATGATAGTAGTAGCAGCTATCGTACAGATAAACTAATTTCCATTGATCAATAATCGCCTCACTCGAATATTTTTTAAATACTTGACTTTCTAAACCAGTCAAAACTGAATTAGATATTCTTCATTAGAGAACTAATAAGTTAACTGGAATTCCAGTCGGTTTCATGGCTGAAAGTGATTAATTCTGACAAATATAACACAAAAAAGGTATACTTATCGGATCTGGGAAGTCAGAGTACGTATACGTAGAAGTGGTATAGTTATAAAGGTAAATATAATGACAAATATGCCACTTAAAAAATTGGCATACTAGCAAAAAATGGATCTAGGTACCAAAAGTTTAAATAAACTACTTACAATATACGGAAAATAAAACTAACTAACCTCTATCTCTTTTCTAAGGGACGCAAGTTCAGATTCTTTCGTAAGGTCATATTCACGCGAACTATCTTTAAATGAAGCTACATGATATGGTCCTTCAGAAAGAGTAACCTTCACTGGAGAACGAGTCATCATCTCTCCACTGCCTCTTGGAAATATTCGGGCTTGTGCAATCATTTCCAATACAGATGTTTTACCAGCACTCTGGTCACCAACAACAACAACTCGTGGCAACTGATCCTGAAGAGTAAATAAAGAGTAATAAGGTGCATCAAAATACACATCGAAACTTCGTTCAATTCTTTAAAGAATAAACGATCAAACCCGTTTATCTTACCTTTTTGATTTTAAAACCTGTATTCAGTAAAACCCAAACATATTTCACTGCCACACTGAAAAAACGAAACTTAAAAACGGGAAAGATTCTCAGCAGTGGGGTGAAGAAAGATATAGTGGAACAAAATAGCTACTTTGGAAAGACAAAAGAAACAACTAGTAAGTGTTAACGGTAGTAACAATATCGATAAGATAATCTAAAAACTGTTGACAGACATCAAAGAATAATCTCGTATTTTCTAGATATACTGAAAGTGTTATCATCATAGAAAGCTTGAGCATCATCATGAATGAAGAAAAACTAGGTGATTCTTAGTATTGCAGCATTACACATTTGAAATAGAATTCACAGCATATGAACTAGGATCTACGAATGAATAATAATAACTATTATTATAGTTATCAAAAGGCACCTAAATAGAATTACCTCTCATAAGGAATAGAACATTCATATCAGTCGTATAAGGTTACTTTAACACGCCATTTAAATAACAAAGAAAATGTGATGGGTAGGAAAGGAACAGAAAGGATTACGTGCCTTCTCGAGTTTAGCGATTTTCCGCGCAAAAGTGGTTTAATTTAGTCAATGCGATGTTTTCTGAATAAAGAGGATTTGCTGAAGCGAACAACCATTATAACTACAGTATTTACACACCTGTCTGAGGAATCCTACAAATATGAATTTTTCAAATTTGAAATAGAAGTCTTGAATAAAGCTGTAACTGGAGGAATGTAAATACATATATTACCGTTGTGGTAAATACGCGTACCAGTTCTGCAATTTAACTTCATATTAACTTAACTGGTAGATGATAACAAAAGTACTGATAAATCGCTTATATATCCACGGGATGTAACATTAAACGGATACAAGATTAGGACTATACTGAGAAAGTCTCGTTTCATTAGGTATCTGCACATTATGTTACTTCTGAATTTTGAAAATTTGTGAATGGGTTAATTGTATAGTCCCAAACTTAGCTCATATATCTAACAATATCATAAAAATTGTCTTCCATACAAAAGCAACTGTAAAATATAAAAAATTTTAAAGAACCCTTTATGTCATAGAAAAGTGGTCGGATTAACACGAGATACTGTAATGCTTAATAAAACTAAACAAAGTGCAAGCGACATCCAACATTGTTATGTCATATTGCCTTTTCTCAGCTTACTCAACCTCTTTTCTTTCATCCCTTCACATTCCCAGTGGAACATAGGGCTTCAAGCTAGAGTCTTGAAGTTTCTGTAGCAGTGTTTATTTTTACAGGATCGGATTGCTAGCTTCATGCCCAACCTTCCCTCTTTACCAGTCTTATTACTGTCTTAGCGAGGTTTAGGCGTGCGTCGGCCGGGGATCGTACCCCAGACCACACGCATGGTCGACGAGCATTCTACCGCTGTGCCGCCGTCACACTAGTCAACCTATGCATCGGTGGTATGGACCACGTATGTGGTCTGGAGTTCAATCCCTGGCTGACGCACTCCTTAACCTCGCTAAGCCGGTGATAAGACAGGTAAGGAGGAGAGGTTGGGTATGAGGCTAGCAACTACACCCCGTGAAAATAAACACCACTGTTACCGGAAATCCAAACCCTAGCTTGAAGCGCTGTGATCCGCTAGGAACATAAAAGAATAGAGAAATATTTACCTAACCTACCAATTAACGTACTTAAAAGTACAGAAAACCCATGGTGTAGTTCATTATTAATCATTAGCGAATCAATATTTATCTAGATAACCTGAGAAGAAATAAGTCCTCCAACTAGTTTCATTACGGGCTACCACTACTAAAAATTTAAAACACAAGATATTTTCACTTTATCATAATATTCTTTAGTAATTGATTGATTTTCTGTTCCAAAAATGAGAGAAAAGCATTTTTCATTCAGTTCCCAATGAAGCCTATTCTTGACCATATGAAAACAATTCAGTTACGATCCCATTATCTGCCAAGGTTAATATGACAGCTACAACAGGGGTGTGCGAATTGTGAAACAAAATTTAGAAACTCCTTCACCACTTACAAATCAATTAACTATGCCTTCAACCTTTGCAGCATCATGTGCAGTGCTAATGGACAGTGTTTGATGAAATCACAATTACTACCAGCAATATACTGGTAATCCGCTTTGGTTGATAGATGCGGCTAGAACAAAAGCTACACATTTGTTTACAACATTGCCGTGTATCACATCCTGAAAAGGTATCTTAAGGATTTCAGTATTAGCAAACAGTTAGTTGGTAGATCATTGCCTATGAGAATGTATATTTGGTATTTTTACTAGATTATGAGACAGGTTAACCATATTTAACAAAGTCAATCAGCAATACGAGTTTCGGCTCACAATTCATCTTTCTTAATTCTTATGCACTTCGTTTTTCCATAATCTCTTGATCATGAAATGTCACACCCGTAGCACCTTAAAATGACCAGGATGTAACTCAGAATGACATTTATTCCTAATGTCAGAGATGTAGCCTCTAACAGCACATTTATCATAAAATTAATATGAAGTGGAACACTACTAATAAACAATAAATAGCGTAGTGATTACAAATAGTCCGTCTAAAATGATAAAACTAAACTTGAAGGTATGATGAAGTTGACATTAACAAGTTTTACAGAAATAGTACGATTAAATCTTCCAAATGACTGCTACAATTTGATTGAGTAATCAGGCTGCTGTGAGGCTTTATGGGACCAAATAGAAGAAAATTCGTCTGCCGAAGAGTGATTCTTCGGTGGTATCATTTTCCAGACTGTACAATCCCATACACCGTACATTTTCGTACTAACTAAAGGAATTTGTTATATGTATGAGATTGTACAGCCTGACAATGGTATCACCAAAAAGGGTAACTCTACGCTGAATACCTTTCCTTCCATTTGCAACGGAATTTCTAATCGTTTTGTAGGATTACAGCAATCAAAATAATATGACGTCGGTTTGAAATGAAATGCAACTTGCAAAGCATACAAACGCAGGTAAAAAAGATCTATTTTACGACACCAGATTTTCTGTCCGTTGCTTTTAGTGAGACTGTGGCTAAAATTATCTTGTTAAAACTTCATAGAGCAAGGATTTCGGTTATCACTATGACTTTAGTAACACTTAGTATGCCATATTTTTGGTATTTACTTATAATCACGTGAAAAATACAAATGTATGCTCGTGCAAGCAGTTTCACTCACCTGTGCATTGTACGCCGAATCCAGGTCTGATAGTTCATCTAGAACTTCTGAATACATATCAATTAATGATTTCTGGAAAGAAATATGATAATAGTCAACCTACGTTAATGCGACCCTTCTGTGCAGACTTCTGAGACTTCAAAAGCAACTCTTTACGTAGTTCTCTATTCTCCTGCAGCAGAGCTTCAATACGTTTATGAAAAGCCAACTGGAAAACACTTCGTAAAAGTGGTATTTACACTCACCTCATTTTTGAAGATGGCCTCTTGCAACTCCTCAACAGTAACATGCTTAACTTGGCTTTTTGCAGGCTGAAGTTACATATAATTCACTGTATTCAAATACCTTTTTAGCGCTGTCAATCTGTTCGGAAACGGGTAATGGAACATCTCCTACATCTGTCATATGACATATATGTATAATTCACTAAAAGTTCAAACCTTTTGTGGCTTCGTATTTCATCGAAGCTGTGAGCGAATCCTTCTTTTTTTCTGAAGAAGTCTAAAAAGGATACTAGAAATTATATGAACAAACCATCATAGATCCGGCGAGGTCGTTTGCATATTCCCTCAGATGCTTCAGCGTCTCTCTTAAATCATCAACGGGGATGTAATCTTTGATAGATATATCAGGAAAAAAGTCCTTCAATTCGTCGTACTTCTGCAGAGATTTTATGAAACGTGATTTCAGCTACCTTTGATATTGTGTAGGAACCTCCAACACCAGCACCTAATGCCAGGTACCGAAACCGTAAAAGCCTCGCTGCTAGCTTCCCAAGCTGACTTGCAATATTTCTCTTCTGTAACAGCAATGGGCTAGCATAGATAATGCGGTTCCTAGACAGCATTTCGGGGAAACTTGATATTATCTACAAACTCATGACGAAACGCAGAGTAGAATATGGGCGCCCGAAATTATCAAGTTTCCAATGTTTTAAATCGATTCTAAAATTTTCGCTTCGTGGATGAACACTGTAAAATATATATCACAGCGTTCCTAAGCTTGTTTTTAATTTGTCCGATCCTCTGGTAACTGAATCAGTGAAAGGTACATATACCATATACTACCGAAGTCCCAGAAAATAATGAGTCTTCTTTCATTGTTCTGAATCACCTACATAGTGGCTAGTAACCAGCGTTTCGTAATAACCATAAGTCTGTTGCGACCTTTATATCTTCCCTTTTACTGCTCTAAAATTTTGATATACTAGTCAGGTGACAAAATGTAGATAATTTCTGAAATAGTGAATACACTGTTTGCTTAACTGCTGAAGAATAAAAACGTTTGGCTTCATTGGGGATGATATCATACCTTATGATATTCATTCCCATAGAAAATTCCACGAGATATAAAATCTGCACCTGTCTTCACTGAGAAACTTGCGTGAGGTTGTGAATTTCGGAGACCTGGTTAGCTACAAATGTCTTAATTCTATGATTTATACCATTAATATTCTACAAGACAAGTTTCGAGTCAGTCCATGATGTCACCGAGAAAGCGACATCCATTTCGGGAAACAGCAAAATACCCGTGCGGGTCGTCATGACAAATGCAGTCAGTTCAAGCCGCGGTATTGTTTGAACTTTAAGAGGTGCTGCCCACAGTAATACGAAAACTGGCATAACTTAGTGATAACGCCTCGAACTGCAGCACTGGATCACATGGGTTCGAGTCTCAGAATGGAGGTGAAATCCTTCAAGAGTTTAGACATGCCTTAAGGGCGAGTGTAAACAAGCAAGAACCCTTTGTCTATGACTTCCTGCCGGTTGCCTCTGAACATCTAATGACAGCAGTCCTGAGTGCACCGTGGTGGAGAGCTACCTGACATGGTGGTTACAGTGAAAACTTGTCAGCAGCAAACAAAGGACTAGAAGTATGACACTAGTTAGTTTCCAATCAATACTTCTTCGGAATATGAGATATAAGCTACTACTCCATATCCACAGTGAGACATCGCAAAATATTGGTGAAACTCCGATTGCTATGGTGCCTATAGGGTCGTGCAATGAGGCCACCACTGACAAAATCCCACTCATGTTTACTGGCCTATCAGACATGGATTTTATAAATGAAGGAATCTTCCTCCGTCACCTAAGACATGACTAAGGCGAATATGATAGGCTGTTTTTCAAAGTATACGTCTCTTACTGTTGGTCCAAGTTCTTCTGACGGCAGTGACTCTACTACGCGTTGGTGTTATCTCTTATCAGTCTAAAATCTCTAGAACAGCCACCCAACTGAGGAAATATACTGTCTCGGGTAATTTGTTGTAGTCATCGCATAGAAACTCTTTTAGAGGCTGACGGTATCGACGCTCGCGAATTTTACGGAGTATACTAACGCAATATCTTATACCAACAACTTCTATAATATTCGTTCCTCGTGTACCGAAGACAAAGCAAAACAACAGAATTTGATTGTCCAAACTACCAGATATATTTCGGGACCAAATCATAAACTGAGTGAATGTTTAACTGGCTAATGATCGTGCACGAACGTGACACGGTGGAGTACCAAATGGCATTGATGCTTGACTGGAAGCCTTCAGCTAAACAAGTCGACTTAGACAGTGAGTGTCAACATCCAACGTTCAGTGATGATTGCTGCGGTCAATAATTTTGGGGGAATTATTTATCGCTACACTCTATTTAATAAGTTGTGGAGCTATACCAAAGGTTTTAACAAATACCTTAGGGCATAATTAACACTTAAACGAGGTGGCACGGCACTGAATGAACGAACTGTTAATTCGTACTCAGGAGCCTGATGGGTAATCCCACAATCGTTCATCCATGACATTCGAAACACCCCTATATCTTGTTTCAGAACCATCATTGTAAAACATTTCTTGTGTGTTAGCATCAAGCTGATAACATCAGCTTGAAGGCGCAACAGTATCCAAACTTAACTACTGACAGGATGTTTTTATATGTATCACCGAATCTAGCCACACCCTCAAACAATGTTCGAATCTTAACAAGGGTTTTCGGGTTTATAACCCCAACTTAAGCCATCTATATCTTTCAACTAATGATCATATAACCTCCTAAGACTGCTCAGTATTTCTTGGCCGTCAGTGAAATAGCAACACAAAACTTTGGACAACGACTCACCATGCTCTTTCGGCCGTCGTATAACCCAACCTGAGTTGGTTCTAATAGCAAATAGTTCCTTCCACTCTCTAAGCCATTTCTCCCAAGACCAGCGTGCATCTGTCAATCTTCTCAATAATTATGATGCTACTCTGTTTGAGTTTTATCCGTCCACCTGTTCATTATGGCATTTTGATTCCTAATTGTGATTTTATTAATTTGCCCCCTGACCGGAAATTATTCTGGAACTTTCCCACCCATTCATTATAAATACACGAATGTAAAGCCTAGTTGACGACTTCGTCGGAAAGAAAACGAAAGAAAATTTTACTCCGCAGTAACTGTCTTTTTCTATTCCCTATGATCAAATGTGTATATTCCGTAGTTAGCGAATTACAAATTTGATTCTGATTTTCTCACCACCTTACCAAAAGACGAAAGAACTAGGACCACTACAAGAATCATACAAACCAACAACATCAGCATTCACTTCAATACGAATGGCATAAGGTATAGACTGAGGTAAAACCAGTCCCCCCAGCACGAGTCTAACATATTTTCTTCTATTCGAGAGTCGCTCCGAAGTATGCATATGTCCAAATTCGTCAGTTTTTTTCCTAACCACACCACAGGAACAACTAACACTTGAGAACTGTTCCAGAAGAAACTGTTCAGCCGGGCAAACCAAGTTAAAGAAATTTGTTTTGCAGCAACTGCGGGGATAATTTTCAACAAAGATACTAGCTCACAGGTTCCAACCAAGAATCCAAATCAAACCAGGGTGCTGCAAATAGACTAGTAATAGAAACAAAAATATTGAGGATACTGTGAAATTAGGTACATAAACTCCAAAGTTATCCGGTATTCTAATAGCGAAAGCACATTGGCCCCCAGTCAATAGAAGCTTGCATTCAAAGAAAAATATACACAAGACTCCAAGATGAAACGAATTATTTACATAAATTCTCAGAATAATGCATAATATGCAGCTTAAATATTTAGGGTATAATATCAACGTAACAGTGGTATTGATAGGGAGCCCCGAAAATATGGAATCCTATTCAAGGCTACCAAAAGACAGTTTAACTGGGAAGTTAATTCTGAGTGGACATTCAAGTATATTATGACAGTTTTCAACTAACCTACCAGCGTAATAAGAAAGCGCCCAAATAGATGTGATATAATGCTGTTCTTCACAATTATGCTCAGGAATCAAAGGGCAGAGTCTCGTTAGCTTTCGGCTGAGTAATGACAACAACAAGGGATAACGTTCAGGATTGCTGGCAGTAACGTCATCAGGAAAATTTACTGTGACTGTAAGACAACTCTCCGGAACTCAGAATACTACTTATACAGTAACCAACTCGATTTCATTCCAAGCGGTATTAAGATACAGAGAGTAAGTCGAAGATTTATTGATCAACCAAGTACAAACCAATGTAGTAAGCTAATTACACAGCAACTTGACCATGTGATTCACAGTTGGTTACTATCAATGCACTAAAAAATCTACAAATAACGGTCTTCTATCAACGAGGAAGCGTCTAAGCCTTAGCAAGGGATGTTGCCTATAACGAAAAGAAAACTGGTTCGAATAAACAAGTTCATTGAACTTCCCCTCAATGTCCACCTTACTGACAATTGCTCTGTATTCACACATCTGCTTTATCTGGGCATCGGGCATAAATAAAGTTGAATCTTTTTCCTGGTCCGTTGTAACCAGTTAGTGAGGCTCCGATAAAATCCGCATGAACTAATGAAGTTAAAACTTGAAATTTTCGCTCGTTCTGTGATGCATTTAGGCGGATTATACAGATATTATAAGAATGCGTCAACTCAGTACACGTATACGAACACGCTCTTTTCCTCTTAATGTTCAATATTTCACACTGCCTTCATTGTTTTCCCTTAGCAGAGGCTGACCGCTGATGATAACACCAGTAAGGATTTTTAGTGACAGATCAAGAAAAGGCTGTGTTTTTCAGGTCTGTCATGACGTGTTAATGGAAGGTTAAGTCTCTGACACTTTTATTTTTTCTAACGGGATACTCTCAACATTATACCAAAAAATATTTTAGCCGCCTGTCCATTTTTAGTCTGCTAAACTTCGGGGAAGACGCAGAATGCCGCCTGTAATCAGACCCATTAGTAGGTCAGTCACCTGGATTATTTTGATAATTGGAAATTATCTGAAGTACAAACAAATTAGGTGATAGTTGTGTGACCATTTATCGTGATAACTCACCCATTATGATGAAGTCACCACGTTATTACTCCTTCAAAACACCAGCTGAACACAAAATTCTTATCTTGATTCCAGCATTAAGGATAAATAAACTAACTGTTGAAGATAAATATCTGAAACTGAGTTGAATTTATGTAGTACTCTCACCCATTGAATTTGTCTGTGAATAAACCGTGTGGAGTTTTGGGATGCTAAGTGGCAGCCAACGTGTTTGTTCTAACTTTTTCCCCCTTTCTTTGTTAAGTGGCCTAAGAAAATCACAGTTAGCATTTGGCTTTTATGGTCCACTGGACGTGGTCGATACATGTTTATACTTCGGCGATTGTTTGGTATGACAGTGAAATTATTTCTGCAATAGGTGTTGGTCACACTTTCCTTAAGACTGCTTTCAACTAAGCTAAATGAGCTTAAATAGGCGCAGGTATTTTGAAACACACAATACCGAAAGATACAACATTCACTGTTCGGGTTTGTCGATGGTACGCCTATGATTAAGTACGTTAGATTTGCGTCGGGACATCAGATTGGCCTGAATAGTCATGAGCTTTCTAGAGCTCCTTTTGATCTATGG